TTCAGAGCCATTTTATACCGTTTTCTAGCTGGATCTATCGAGACATTTCTATAGAACGAAAGCATAGCCGATCCATTTAGTCTGTTCTAATGAACAAAATATTATCAAGTAATTAGGTACGCAACGCGAATGTATAGTATATTACTCATTTTTAATTATAAATATACCTGTGACGTAGAATTTCAACTGCAGTGTAACCTTAGTTACCAACTATACGATCTTGGCCATCATATTTTTGGATCAAATCTAATCGAAAACAATTACATTTGTATTTATACTGAACATCCGTAGTTCAGTATCCACTGCCAAGCTGGAAAAAAAAAATCAATCGGATTGAACACCGAAATCCTCCTCTCGCGATTTCACGATTATTGCATCAGAGTACACGGACGTTTAACACCATCATTATTGTTTTCCAACCGATCATTTCGATTTTGACGATTGCGGTACCTAATTATTATTACACGTTATTTAAAAACTGGAACATCTCGCGAGAAACGCTCAGTTTTTCCGTGCTGATAATTATCGCAGTGTTGGCACGTTTACGGCAGCCGGCCGCAGCCTCCCAACAAACGGCCTTAGTCATTTGACATTGTTAATGAAACGTCCGAACAAATCGTTTGAGCACTGTGTTAGTGCCTGATCATCGTTATAGCAGTGGTTTTATTTCGTAGGAAATACTAATAATAACGCGTTAAAATTAATTTCGGTAAAGTCTTAACAAGGGGCCGTTGCGGTCGTCTGCCGCACTGTACAGAATCGATTGTCCCCGTTCATTATGACACTATTATTGACGGCACGAGTGCAACTTTATACGCGGCATACAATAATAACGATGATAATAATAATAATAACATTAATATGGTAAAATCGGTTTTTAATATTTAACCGCCGTTAACCGGGCCATCATCGATCGATTAATGAATTGGACAACGCGATTGCTGCGCGTTTGAACAATAAATACGAATTTCCAAAGACCGTACAACATTGTAATAAATACGGGACCCCGGGCTACGGTAACGGAACAACAGAAATCGGCGGAAGTAGTGACAACGTCTGAGCCATACTCAGACTTACCGTCAGCGAAACGAGGGTTATTTCCGTTGGAGTCCGGATTTAAGGCCGCGAAGAGAGCGAACGGAAAGAGAGCCCGGACGAAGCGACATTGAAATCGTGTTCTGTATTTCGTTTGTCTCGTCTGCTGAATGTTATCCCACGGGATCACGTCAGCTGTTCGCCGAAAATCTTTCGCGCGAAAACAATCGATCGTAAACGATTTGTGACAATTTTAGGGAAATGTCTGCACGTATCCCAGTGTTTATTCAAATATCATGTTCGCGCGCCGTGTTTCGCGGATCAACTCCCATTTCTCCATCTGAGCATTAACCGGTGCACGGGTATGACGAAAACGTTTGACGAAATTGCCATTTTCCACGTAAACGCGATCGCCGCACTTGCATATTTTTTACACGTGACATTTCCAGTAAACATTTGTTTTTATTTGTTATTCTCGGTAAAACGTATTACGGCTTTCGTGTACGAGTACGTCGGTCACCTTTTCACACATTTCAAAATCATAATAGTTTTATATAAAATATAAAACATAAATGCAACGGACAAACTACCGGCGAACGTTAAAACTGCTTGAATGGCACACGGGTTTGTGTGACGCGAGTATTAGTATTATTAATACCATCGCGTAACCCGCTGGATAATCCGCATAAAGTTCGACAACGTAAAGTTATCGACGAGAATTCAATTTAATATTGTCACTGGCGGACTGACGTATATCGACCGTGTTCGAATAAATTTCGCGCGATAAATCACCACGCGAACTATTTTCGGCGAACAATAAATTGACGCGCATCCATGTCCCTGTATAGATATTGTATTGGTCGTTGCAGTTTTCTCGCACGATCGCCATAGGCGCAACGTGGTCAAATTTGTCGGGCTTTTGTTGGCGACAAATGTCTAATGTCTTTTTTCGCGGGGCTTCGGTTCCGTACCGAAATATATGTGTAGGCCTTTTGCCTATTTCCTGTACAGTATATATATATATATATATACATTTATCTATATCTAGAACATCGTTTGGGCTTACACAATTAGACACGCCCATCTCTATATTTATACAACGGACAAAAAAATAATTTCATGGTCGATCGTGGGGGTGGCGTTAAACTCCCAAGCCCTCTGAATACACCTATGACGATTGTTTTAATATTCCGATCGTGTTTGTCCACAGGCAGGTCCAAATTATGTTTTTTTTTTTTTTTATAAATTTAAAAAAAAAAACAGACCGTGGGTTTTTCGTTTATTTTATGCATATTATTTTCGATAAAAATCAACTTATTGCACGCATAACTTTGACTACGAAACCGATTCAGCTATGCAGGTACAATAAAGCACGTTTCAGCCGCGCGTGTCGGTTACAACTGCAGAGACAATACTATAATTATTCTAGGGCGATGACCTTTCGATCGTTTTGAATATTATACTAATTTATTGTGTATAAATAAACCGTCCGGATTAATCCAATTTACGTAAACTCGAACTCGGTTGTTTGGACGAAACACGAACGCGGGGCTGCGGGAATCACACTGCTCTACTATAATTGCATTCGAAAGGATCTGGCAACGTGTGTTTGGATAATAAAATAGTTCGCGATGTATAGTGTACATTCGTACAGTTTGTAGTGTCATTTTTTTCGCTTCTCATTCGAGTTGTGTTTCCGACATTTTCCATCGTTTGTCAACGGCACAATATTATTTCGCTACACGCAACGGTAATATTATTGTCAGGAAAATCGTGGTTTTTTGTTTTTTCCGTAGCGTTTATTCCACTCGTTTCTACGTGCCCGTTTTACGCGCACATTTGCCGAGGCCTTCAACTTCGGCGTATCCGTCCGCCTTTGTCACGGGACGGCATCTCGTCGAACGTCTATTATTGCAATTCGAAATGTTAACTGAATCCACATAACGCGATAAAAAAAAAGTAAAGTAATAACGTTTGTGTACTCCTCGTTGGACGCGCGGCATAAGAACGAAAACCGATATTCGTTTTCTTCGTGGTAAACAGCATTTATTATTATTATTATTATTTTTTTTTTTTCATAATAATCAATAATCACGGCGAACGATTGTAAATACGTCATATCATTCGTATAGGAAGATAATTGCTGCACACTGTTATTATTATACCGTACACGTGACCGTTCGAGCGAACATTTTCTTTAATTGAGTGTACACGGATGAAAAATGAACGCGCCGCTAAGTCCGCAGCACGAGGTATGCGGTTGAATTATTGCCTATACAGTACACACCTCGCTATGCGCGTTGTATGCGACAAGCGCGTAACATCATCGGACACGAACGAACACGACGAGATAAGCGTTTCGTCCATCGATGACTCCTGCCATTAGTTTCGTGCTCGCCGATGTACCAATGCAGTTTTGTACTTTTGAATCGCGTGTAATTGAACGGAAACGTGGTGGGGGGGGGGGTTTTCGGTTTTTCAAACGGTTACGATTATGGATTATGGAATCCGCGACAGTTTTGTCACGTAAAGGCACGTAAAGGAATTTCCTCGAGCATAAGCATCTAAAAACGCGGATGTCTTCGGATCGTGTGCACAGTGTATACGAAAAAATTATCGAGATTATTATTCGAATTTTCGTCAATATTTACGAGAATAATATCCAGGTTTAGGTTTGTCGTATTTGGTTTTAAAGCATTTTCAGGCCATTTTTTTTTTTCAACATTTACGTTTTATATATTACACCGTCGTCCACCATTCATAGCATATTCTATTCTATTCATAAGTATAATATAACTATTCAACGTTCATAAGTTGTATTTTTTTTTTTTTTTTGTATGTCTGTGAACAACTTTTCTACCAGCATACTTATTTTTACTAAAAATGTTATAAAAACTTTATTGTAGCATGTTTGATTTAGTTGGTGAATTAAAGAAATCGATTTTTCATATGGGTTTCTTAATTTGACTATTTTCTTGTCACAGTTATTCGTTTCTCTTGTAAATTTTTTTAAAAAATTGAAAAACTATTTTTTCAATTGTAATTGTAAGGATTTTAAAGACCATTTGGTCGTCGTCGTCGTGACAACATGCTGCCTCTGTCTCTTCCATCTGTCTATTATTTGAGCATATTTTTTTCGCACCTTTCAGTGTATGGCTTATTGTTAAACAACCGGCAATATACGAGTAGAGCGGATAAAAGTTTTTTTTTTTGCAATATTGCTGGTATCTATATAATTATACAAAATATATTATTATTATATTACCGTGTACACATAATTCACGGGTGAAAAAAGAAAAATAGTTTACCTAACCTCGGCGTTTCAGTTCTCTCCACGGGCCCTCGACGGGGGGGAACTTAACTCTGGAGAGGAGAAATAACGCATGATTATATAACACCTATACTCGGTGATCTATGGGGTCCCGCGGTGAGCGGGAGGGGGGGAGTTGGGGAGGCACGTGAAGGGAGGAGGCATGACTAATAGCTCAGGTATGCGTCCTCGACATCGTCAGTGAGCAAACGAGACTGGTTTTTTGTTGTGTTTTTTTCCGTACGACGACGTCGCCGCCACAGTTTTGTCGCCCGAAAAATCCTACGCTGTTATTGAAATTTTTACTCTGATGCAATAATATAATACGACGCGTTATTATTATTCATTGTGTGTATAATAGAACAAACGTAATAAATATTCTTAATGTACACCACACGCCGTTATTATGCCCCGCGTATTATAATATCAGAATAATGCCAGTGACCCGCGAGCGCGAGATGCTATAGTGGGCGGTAACTGTTCTCGCACGGCGAACCGAAAAACTCGCCAAGAATAATCAATTATAACGTATATTGTCCTAAAATCGAATTCCTAAATAATTTCGTTATAGTCCCGACACGACAGTATTGATTCTGTAATATATTTCGATTTCATAGCATTGAGGACCGTGATTTGAGCCGATCGCATATCGGTTCTACTTCAATGCATAGAGTTCTATTCGTCTGGGTAATTTTTTTCCAAATTGTCTACACGTGTCAGTAGTATTATAAGAGGGATCCGAGGACCTCAAACCTTGTTCAAGCTCCACCTCGCCCTCAGCTTCTTCAGTACCGCCGTCAAAACTGCATACAGCCCATCTTACTCTCTGCTCACTCATCCTCAATTTCAGAGGCTTAGGAAAGGCGAGACTTAAAACTAAAGTTGAAGTTCTTGAAGACCCCGTTTTATAATCCATATAGATGTGTTAAACATATCGTGGTTTTTGGATTTTTTTTACCGTAAAACAAATCTCCAACCCATTCTCACTGTGTCTGCTACTGATTCTCTGCTCTCCAATAAATCATTACAACGATTTTGAGTCCCTCGTACGTAAAATTCACTCCCGTCCGAAACTTAGACATAATATTAATAAACGGACTGTGCTTAAGAAAAAAAAAAAATTAATAAAACAAAGAGTCGATATTAATTACTTATCTAACCATCAGCTCGATGCCTTATGCATATTTATAATCAATTTCATAGCGTACTAAAAATATAAAAGTATTTAATTCACGATTAACCTTGGCTATCCCAAAAATTCTCATTTAATATTATCCACAAACATGGGACATATCGATGGGAAGGGGATGAGGAAAACGGAGTCCATCAATATTTTTAAATGGTCCGCATAAGCAATTTTCTCACCGTTGACGGTGTTTAAAAAGTACCCAGAAACATATTATAGGTAATTCTGTTTTGTATATTATAAACTTATATAGACCTGTAATAGACTGGTTTATTCCGTTCGAATACATGCGTAGCATATTATTGTAATAATTTATAAGTGTTTTACGGGGTTATTTTTTTCGAATTTCTTGACTTCCGTGCGCATTACTAGCCATTTTACTCGAAACGTCCATTAAATAAATACCGCGCACAATATATTAAATGTACACGAACAGGAAGAACGTTATACCGTGTGTGTTTGAACGTGTGTTATAGACACTTATGGTCGTCCTTGAGAACAATCGGTCATCCGACACAAACGCGTTCTAGCCGACGCTTTTCCCCGAGAAGGTATCCACGGCGTATTGACCGCGTCGAGCTTTTTAATGCATTCTGACCGTGTCCAGTCGAAGGCGAAATCATAAAATATAAACTATAGGTCATACCTGTAGGCCGCAGATCATAAAATATACGAGTTTTTTTTCGTTTTCAATTTTCAGCTGCTTTCAAATAGTTTCAAACGTACAATGATGAATAATGTAATATGTATACGTGCCTGCCACGCAAGGGTTTCTTTTGAACGCCCACTACACTGCAAAGTCGGACGGGATCCTTAATGTATTGGATTTTTAAATTTTCTAAATCTTCACAGTGTTTTTTTGAAAAACAATTTTGTTTTGAGATCACGGGTGTGGAAAGTAGACGTGGATAGCAGTGGCGATCTCACGATATCTCAATGGAGAGGGACGAAGAAAAATGGTTGAAAAATAAGCAGCGGGGGTTTTACCTCATAACCCTCATATTATAACAGTGCATATTAAAATAATGTATCATCAATTCAAATCATTTTTATTGTATTGTATTATATTGTACTTTTAGTTTTAATATCTACATAATACAACGTCAAGTACATATTCAATAATTGCAAGTTACCGTACATTTACGATAAAATTTGAGAAATGCAAACATGTTTCAAACGAAAGAAATAGCATTTTTTGTGACTGGATATTCCAACTGGAAAAAACCATTGGATAAGAATAAGGGATTTTATAAACACCAATCTTCTTCATCACACCTTATTTGTATAACAAAATTATTAGACAAACAAAAACGCATTGAAACGATTTCAGAAATTTCAACATTTTTGAATGAAAACGTTTTTAAAAAACATATATATTATGTAAAATCTATATTCGAAATAATTATATTTACGAATCAACGTTTTCCTGATTAACTAGACTTGAAAATCCTCAAAGGCAATCAATGAAACCTACCCTGCTTTCCAATTTGGCTTTATTGGCGTTTGAGTCCGAACGGATTGAAAAATTAAATTTGGACGTATTATTAATGCATTTCAACAAGCAAAAATATAAAAAATTGCAGCTGTATTTAAAAAAAAAAAAAAAAAAAAAAAAATGTATTTTATTATTATAATTTAAAATATTATGTAGTTTGTATTTTAAAAACAAAATTCTTATTGCAAGCCCTAAAAAAATATTCAAAGTTTAATATAGCAGAATAAATAAATTAAAAATAGTAATTGTTTCTGCCTAATGCCCCCCCCTCTAAAATCTGATTTGCTTCACCTGATGATTTGGTCTGGCTACGAGCCTGCATGTTTGACGCATGTAAACATGTTTTAATTATTTATCATAAATGAAAAATGTGTAATAATAAAATGTATCGATCATACATTCGTCATTCACACCAATATTAACGGTCTAATCTCTTTTCCTAGTATGAGTGTTTTATTTTAAGTGTCGAAAGCAATATTGTATCAACAGGGATGATCTAAGCAAGATGTGTTTGAAGATGCGATTGAAAAATGATAAGCAAAACTTTACAGAAATAACAACGAAATTACCAATATCTTATTCACTATTATACAAATATATCACAATAATATCGTGTTACTAACACGATAAGGAAGAAAAAAAAAACGGTCGACCCGAGAGACTCCAAAATATGACTACCGCAAAATAAACTTTGGTAGGCAACACATTTCTAAAGGAATGATTGCTGGAATTGATTTTTTTTTAGAGAAACAAATGAAGGAATTTATTTCATATTTTTAGAAATAGACCGTAAATATATTAGTTATTTTGTTCTTCTTTGAAATGTGTTCTAAAACATATTTGGGAAGAAAAATGTCGCTTATCAAGTTTTGAATTTAATAAATGAGATTCTTTTAACCAGTTTTTCGTTGACATGCGACTTGGTGTTCTAAAGCAAATCAATTAGTGATATTTTAAAATTAAGATTATAAAAAAAAAAATTTAGACTACATTATGTATTCATAAAGGAACGCTTAAATAAAGAAAGGGAAACGAGAATGAGTTTCTTTTTAAAATAAGTACCAAGAAACGGGAACAAGTTTCTATTTGCAATAGGAACGAGGAATGGGAACAGATTTACTTTTAAAAGGAACGTTAACAGTCATAGGCGTTGCCAAGGGGGTCATAGGGTATGCCACTGCATACTCAAAGAAATAAATTAAATACACCATAACTCATAAGTGCCATTTGGGAAGGTTATAGGGTATTTGGCACCCATATTTTCTCTGTGTTTTAAAATTGGCCCATCATAAAATGTACAAACGCGCCGATGTCCTTTACGTACATCTGTACAAGTTCGTGAAATTTATTTTAATTTATAATTTATAATATTGTGTAAATTATAAATTATAAAACAGTTTAATCCGTTTACATTCCGTTTACCGTTGGTAATGTTGACATGATAATCAGATCGTATACTTGTATTATTTTACCCTTACTCACCCACCACGAGAACCATACAATGATATTATATTAAATAAGCTATAAATAGGCTATAGGTAATGTGTAAACAGATTGCTGGAAATCATCAATTTTTTACCACGCATCCGTCGTGTTTTGTACTCACAGTTTGTCAAGTTTTACGAAAACCGTAAATACTACGACCTTACAAAATATGTTTGACCGAACTTCGCTCCGAATCGTTTTTCGTTAGCAATGGTTTATCGTTGGTTGCAAGTATAAATTGAATAACTATATGTATACCAACTTCCGAACTACGTGATCCACAACAGCGGCCGCACCTGTCCCCAGTATCAGCTCTTTTTTTTTTTCATTTATTTTTAATAGAGACAAATTATCTGGTGGCATCCATAAGCTAGTTGACACCTATATCAAGTAGTTTATTTGATGTTGCAACTTATAGTATGTAAACCAATACTTTGAGAAATGTATTTTGTTCATTATCTGACAGACTACGATTAATAAATAAAGCAACAGCACTAATGACTTGCATGCTATTGGTATCTAATCTATATTGCTACGCTAGCAAATGGAAATCAGAATTAAGTACCCAACGCAGATAATATAAATTTAATCATGTCTTAATTATTGAAGACATAGTGGAACTTTAGTTTTACTTGTTGATCATTATAGTGTTGTCACTTTCTTTGGATTCACTTGAAAAAGCGTAGGTACATTTTCTTTTTTCTTTTCTTTCATTTAAAGAGAAAAAAATAAGCAAGAACCGTACAGTCGACAGAACAAAATGACACAATTATATAATTTATTAGAGCCATTTTATACAATGAAAATAAAAAGTTGATACGTCAACATTTTCAGAAAAATAATAAACTCTATAAAATAGCTATTTTAAATTTTTCAAAAATAATAAAATTAAGTTTTTTTTTTCAAATTTGTTATCAAAGCATAAACAATTAATTGCATATAAATATGTTTAGTCCTTCCGAGTTATATTGAAAAAAACAACGGAATTTGATTATCTGTATTATCTCCGGAGATATTACAATGGATATATTTTTATGGGACACCTTAAATATATATGTATACGTATACTAATGATTAATATAAATCTTTACGGCTGGCAGTGCCTGGCACATGTCTGAATAACTAGTTATTATGGCGATGGAATAAACAATCATGATAAAGAAAAATAAAAAATTACAATAAAAATAAACACTATAGCCTATATTGAAAATACATTCATCAAAAGTAGACAAAACGCGTATTATTAATATGCAATAAAAAAAAAAAAAAATGAAAAAATGAACCTTGGGGGACAATTTATCCCTCATATCCCCCCCCCCTCGTGAGAACGCCCATGGTGGATCAATCTATCAATCGTGACTGGGAATATTTCACATCTTCTGTAGTGATATTGTCTGTGAACACATTGATAGTAGCCATCATTAGAAACCGCATACTGCCACGGACTTCTACGCGATAGTATAGGTGCGTCAGATTGGTACACGTGACTTTTAGTCTCACAACAAACGCGTGATTATTAATTTATTGGTGCATGACTCATGCTTTTAGTTAATTCAAAATTTTTATAAATTGTAAAATTATTCGTAATCATTTATTAATAATGCTACATCGTATCGTAACCAGTTAATATATTTTGTATAAATACTGTACATTCCGGAGATGGGATACATATTTGATTTCGGCTTTTGAGTTTTTTTTTTTTTCCTCATAAAGATTTTGATTTTAAAAATAAATTTTTAAATTATCAATA